ACAAATTTTTGTCAGACATTTTTAAGGTTACTTTTTCGAGACTTTTATGCATAGTTATAGACCTTCTACTCTATTTATTTATTTATTTGCTGTTGTATTTTTACAGACATATTTAAGGCCTTTAAAGATGTTTGCAGTCATAGGGTTGCATCAGTTTTTGTTAGATTTTTTTGACAATAAAGATATTATTAGTAGTAGTAAATTCCTTTGCTTAGGATTATGGATACAACAGGAGAGATGTGTCACTTATATCATCGCTCAGCTTTGATCACAGTTTAAATAATACGCCAAATAGCCAAAGAATAAACATGTGGCGTAGAGACACAGATTCAAGTGTACGAGACTTTCTGCAAACGTATTCAATAATGTAATATTGTCATTTATTCAGGCAAATGAATTTGGTCCTAAGAATTTTGGGTAATTGTCTTAGAATCCGGATAGGTGGCGGTAATGCACGTTCTTTAGTTTGACAACTGCCAAAAAAACATAAAGAAGAAGGAGTGCCGTAAGCTAGCTGTAACAAGAAGTTGCTAACCTATTTGTGAGGTTTGATAAAGCATAATAGAGAAAAGTAACGTTGCGGAGAGATAAGTTACCGCTGACAGTAGGTCATGCAGCGCTCTAAAAGGTAATGAGCCGTAAAGCCACAGGGTCTCGGCTCAGCGGCGCCCACAAACTGCGGCCACACTGGAACGACTGGCAGTCCAGGTTGGTGCTCTGTGGGCCTACGGCTCGCTGTTGTGTTCAGCTGGGGCCACATGGAAGGGAAGCACTGTTTGTTTGTGCTTAAACGCTTAATACTAACAGACCGTAACTGCACTGTCTTGAAAACCATAAAACCATCTTGTTTACGCAGTATAGACTCACCCACGGTAAACGTAGGGCTTGCTTTTGACGAGCCTGTGTCGTGGACTGTCGCTGCTAACAAGCTAACGCTAATGGCTAATCAACTGTGAGGCTTTGGTACAAAAGCACGCCAGTTGAAAAAATAATACTGATCTTTTATGTATTTTACTGATGAGCGATATTTAAAATGAAACACATGGTAGCTCAAAGTGTTTGTGAGCTGTGGGTCTTCGCGCTGGCTACATATGGTTAGCTAATGGGAAAGACTACCCAAAGCAATGTTATCAACTCCTCAGATAACTTCCGGATACGTTTTTTACAGCTTCTGCACAGAGAGGTGTACGATGGTATTGGTTTTTTAACCTGTTGGCGTTATAATAACTAACTGGGCAATGAGTAAAAGAGGAGATGTCATTGCTGGCTGTGAGCGTGGCAGCTGCCCGAAGGCCTCGCTTAGTTTTGAAATGCGGCTCACTGCAGCTTTCTGTAAGAGACGGGATCCATGTTTCCATACTCCCGTGTCCACCCAGGGTATTTTGGGTGTGTGAGACGTGTGAACAGCGTCAGGTGCCTGTTGTTGTAGTCACACGCTAAATGAAGACTGCAGACTGGGCTCAGCAGCAGGTTATTGCTCCTGTAGGGGTGGGGGTAGGCCTGATTTGCATCTGTTTGCAAAGAATTTCTAAACGATTAAAGTAGTATGACAACAAAAATGACAGTCTGTTCATCAGTTCTTTCTTGGGCATTAAACTAATCTAATGTTAGCCTTTCATTTCTGGCGTGGCTGTAGTTCAGGTAGACCAGGTCATCGCCTAACTGGGTGGTTGGTGGTTTCATCCCAGTTACTCCAGGTTGCATGCCAAATTAATCCTCGTGCAACAAGTTGCTCTCTGATGCATCCATCGGAGTATCTGTGTGTGAATGAGGCATGTTGTATAAAGCACCTCGAGTGCTCCAGTAGAGTAAAACACTGTAATATAAGAACCAGTGCAGTTACCATGTAGGCCTTGTTACCGAGCAGCATTGCACCACATGCACAGAATTGCCAGCTAAATAGTTTATTTTTACTTCCTGCTTTAGTGTGTTTTTATTTTGTTTGGTGTCTTGCCTCATTTGCCATCCTTAGTGACTTTTTCTGGTTAGTTGGCTAAGTGAGATTTAAATGTTGCTGTTAATGATTAAACGATGGCGTTTAAGCTGGCACTAATACTGCAAGCTTCAAAGCTTAGAGTCAACCAGTAATGTCGAAGCAACACTTCATGTTTTGTGAGAGGATGCAATAGCGAAATGATGACGTTTGTGTTGATTATTTTTGTTTGTATTCTTTCTGATTAACAGTATGCCATGATGTGATGTAAGTATTATACCATGTGATTAATGCAGTTGTTCCCTCTGCTGTATTAAAAATGCAATAGACTGTTTACCCTTAAAGTTGCCCAATAAGTTGGAATATGCACCAAATGCTTTTCATGCAGTCCCTCGTGGTCTATCTTTACTTTACACCGACTCATCTGGAGACTAGTTCGATGTTTACCTGTACAGAACACTCACCTCCTGTGATTGGGCAGAGAGAAGGAGCACGCAGTGTAAAAGCTGTACCCCTGCTTACAGATGGTGACATGTTTCTGTAGGTCATGCTTTAGCAATGATCGACTCCCAGACAAAAATAACTGCTGAGCAGTGGCACTTGCTTGAATCACTGAAGTACACCTGTAGCTCATACGCTCCAACCTGTGGTGTCATTACAGTTGAAAGTTTCATTAGTCACGCACTGAAACTTTCCAGTTGAACTGTGACATTCATTAGTATTAAACTGGTAGTAATGGGATGAGTTCAGAGTTAGATCAAGAGTCAGCTGTGACATTGGTGGTCTTTTTCTTTTGTCTGTGTTTGTTTTATCCGTAGAGTTAACAGTGTGTCATCCAGCCAGGACGAGGTGAAGTCTAGAGAGTTTGGTTCAGGACCACTGTACGACGTGTTGGCCTCCAGTTGCCCTGAACAGCCAGCAGTGCCCAGTAATGTCTATGCTGCTGCAGATACCCATCAGGAAGAGGGTGAGGCCTGTGGTTAAGCTGAAACTCTTACTTCTTACTTAGACTTTGGCTGAAAATAACCCAAAAAGGAAGCTTTTTGCCCAACTTTCAACATTTTCCAGTTTCAGGGTCAAAATTTCAAGTTAAACTCCCATCATTCATGTTAACTGCAGATTTTCATTTCTAGTCACTGACCCGTCTAAAGACAAACGAAGAAGCAAAGATGCAGATTTCTAATTAAAGTGAAATGTTGAAAAGAATGATTTATCTTCTGTCGTGAGCCTTCTGCAGGTCAGCTCCTCTTTGACTTGTTGGTTAAACCAAGTTGTAAAACAGGCTGTTTACATGGACAAACACACATTGTATTTGAATAGTGCAGCTTATGCGTACTTGGCCTCTCTATGAAATGTCTCTTAGGTGGATATGAAGCTGGTCAAGGTGTCTGTGATACTACGTTTGATTGGAAGTCGCTGGGGCAAGAGCTGAGGCCAGATGACTTGACAACGGATTTGATTCCTTTTAAGCATGGAAACCGTGCTCTAGCTTCAAAGGACATGAGGAAATCGCAGGGTAAGTGGTGCAGCAAATGCATGCAGAAGCACACGTTCAACGCAGGTTCAAAGGAGTTGCTTATAAAAATAAGCTCGCGTTGTGTTCAGATCGGGTTTGCCTGAGTCATTCACTGACAGGTGGAAAAAGGTAATGCCAGGTTTGGTTAACTGAAGTTTCCACTCTAACACAAGTGGAGAAATGGTATTAAGACTTAAATGTAGGTTTCCTTGCAGTTCCTACCCAGTTTTCATGGGAACACTAGGCTCTGACTAGCTAATTAACAGCTTGTGTCTAAAGAGCATGTTCCCAACATGTTTTCTGCAGTAGTTACATCTATATACTTCTGAAATGATGCTGAGGAACTCCAGCTGTGGTTGTAGTTTAGTTTTTTCTAATATACTGGTGTAGCTGCAGCGGGATCATGTGTGTTCACTCGGAGTGTCGGGATGTCGTTGCAGACAGAGGAATGGCTCACTCAGAGGAGTCTCGACTGGCCAACCTCCTGCGCCGAGTCTCCAGGGAAGATGATCGTGACCGGAGGCTGGCTACAATCAAACAGCTGAAGGAATTCATCAGCCATGGCGAGAGCAGAGGGGTCAGTCGGATTACTTTCCTGGTGTTTCAATCCGTGATAGCCAGCAACGTCACTATAGTCAAACTCACAGGGTGCAGCAAACTGTATTGGAATACATTATACGATGTGTTTACATATTTACTTCTCCCAGCACACACTGTGAGGGTAAATGGACTGGTTCTTATAGAGCGCTTTTCTACTCTTCTGAGCACTCAAAGCGCTTTATACAACTTGTGCATTCACCCATTCGCAAAAGCACATTTTTCTAAGTGTTTTCTAGCTAACAGTCACACACATTCACACTCCGATGGACGCATCGGAGAGCAATTTGGGGTTACTATCTTGCCAAAGAATATTTGGCATGCAGACTAGGGGAAGCCAGGAATCGAACCACCAACCTTCCGATCAGTAGATCAGCAGTAACCTGCTCTACCGCCTGAGCTACAGCCACCCCAACTGACCAGCTACCTTATGACCGCTTGGACTGTTGATTTACCTAAAGGTCCTTCGTAGGCTCTAGTACTCATGTAGTTATGAATACTTTGACCCTCGGGCCTGTAACTGTGTTAAGATAAAACCCTATCGTCTCAGTTTTCCTGGCTTTTCCTAAAATGGGCTTTTTCATTAAATACTGAATGTTGAGGTGTGTGAGAACAAAGGACAAAAACATTATGACTGCTTTTACCTGCAGCGCTGCAGGGGGCTTTAGTTTTAACGTAAAACAACTACTGGCATGCACTGAGTTGCCTAGCAACATGATTGATTAGACATATTTTGATGTGAAGGCTGCTATAATATGAGCCTGAGCCAGCTAGATGTGACTGATACATAAAGGGGACTGTAGTTCGATAAACAGTGAGTAACTACTGAGACTGTGTAATCCTAATGACTTCTGTCTTGTCTCCACAGACTCTGGTCAAACAATTGGACACCATCCTTAGCACTCTGAATGACATTTTAAATGAGAGGTAAGAGGATGCTGGGTGCGTGGGTTCATTGGCAGCACAGGAAGTTTCAATAACTCAGGGCTGTAGAAATAGAAAGGAGATTAAAATATTCACATAAACTCAGACTGTTGCTCAGTAGCGCTGCCACAAGCGACTAATCGGATCATCATCCATTGGGCGTAAAACGTACAGCTTGTTGCACCAGCAGCATCTGCTCTTCTATAACTATCATTAGCTTACAGCTGGAAGTGTTTAAGGTCTGTGCTAACTAACAATAAAGACAAGATGAGAGTTTATTAAACTTTCAATGTTAACCGTTTAATCAGCTGTGTGCAAACTGTAACTTTAATCTCAGCCAAACCGATTTACTCAGGAACAAATAAAACACTGAACAAAGCCAAACAAGAACATTTTTAAGTTGTTTGAGTGACTCATATATCATGTTTAACCTGAGTAGTGAAAGAACTCCGGGGGGTTTGAAAATGATGTGGTGGGAATCCCCTGTTTTCACCGGCTCTAGTGACCCTTGACCTCCCGGTCAGCTATCGAGCTGGTGGGTAACAGATGGCTCTGAAAACGTCGGCGCACTTTTGAAAATATGTGTTGTCTTGATAAACTGAGCAGATATTAGAAGTTTCCACAGCTACATTCTGAAAATATGTTTAATGTTCATTTTGCGACCCAGAAAGAATAATAAGAGTAATATTAAAACTAAGTAGCTGCCGCCATTGTTGGGAACTGGAATTAGCTGGGCCGCGCTATGAATTCTGGGATATGGTGGGCCACGCTGTGACGTAATCGGCTTACAAATGCGGTCTCCAAAGGATGCGGCCCCCGAATTTGGACACAGCTGCGGTGCCGGGGACTGCTGCTGCTGCTGCTTCTTCTTTGGTGTTTAATGGCAGCTGGCATCCTTGCAGATGCATTGCTGCCATCTTAAATCCTACTATTTATTCCTAACATGGAAAAATCGGACACGGAGCAGCGAACCGTACTGTGCTAACCGGCCCCCACCACAGACGCCAACGCAACAAACCTGTCAGTTAAGCAAGACTCATGTGACACAGTATGATTATAGGAATGAGAAGCAGGAAAGAGCCATCAGGTGCTCAAACATTAGAGCAGGCTGCTGCACGCCGCATGATAAAGCCCCACAAAGATCATAGCGGCCATTACAGCGTACATCTATCAATGGTTTCATTCATAGGTCAAAACTCGACTCAAAAACGCTTCACACAAGTCAAGTTGCCTCGTTTGTATTACGAACCCAAGTATTGGAGGAAATCCACAACATGTGGAAAAGCCTCATCCCTGTATGAGCTTACAGTTCACTTCATCAGAGACTCTGTGGTCAGTGTTAGCAGCCAGGCTAGTTTCCTACGACCACACAGATGAAGCTAACGATAGCCCGAGGCCTCAAGGAAGCTGTCGCACGACGAGTGGATCATAAGAATGTTTCAGATGTACTGTTGGTGAGGTTGAAGTCAGTAGACTTTTGTAACTGTTACCTGACTGAGTATCACTGTTGGAAACAGGTTGACCTTCGATGTATCCTGGCTGTACATTTAAATGTAGTTTTAAAGTTTGCATTAATCATTAGGACTCCGGCTGTGCTCTCTGCGCATTCAATCTAAAGTCAGCTGCTGGTGCTTGTTCTTTTTTCTACTGTTTAATAGAAATTATTACAGAAGTTTGTTGCAAATATTTGTCAGGTTACAACCTTTTTCCAAAATGAATTATATTCAATGAAATGGTCCATAATGACAAAGGTTATATTTGAGGTTGTTATTTTGTTGCCATGACCCTCAAAACGTTGCTCAGGTGCTTCTTGTTTCCACTGATCATCTGTCACATCATTCTTCAACTCTGTTGGAGTTCATCTGAGGTGAATTCAGTTGATCGAACATGATGTGGAAAAGTGCACACTTGTCTATAGAAGGTCGCATATTTGACAGTGTCAGGGCACAAACCCAGCCATGAAGTCCAGGGAGCGCTCTGTAGACCTCTGAGGTAGGAGTGTATAGATCTGAGGACGTCTCTGCATCACTGAAGGTCCTAAGGAGCACAGTGGCCTCCATCATCCATATGTGGAACAAGTTTGGAACCACCAGGACTCTTCTAGAGCTTCCTGCGTGGCGAGTCTGAGCGATCAGGGTTGAAGAGTCATGGCTGTGCACCGACGCTGTCCATCCAAGCCGATCGAAATAATAGTCAGGCCGCTCTAAAGTTGTTTTTTTCCTGTGTTGATGTTTTTAGCAGTAAGATGCTGTGGGAGCTGCGTCAGGATGCTGCAGCCTGCCTTGGTATCCTGTGCACCGTACTCAGCTATGAGGCAGAGCGCATCTTCAAGTGGCTCTTTGTCAAGTTCAATTCAAGCAGTCGTGATGAGGTGAAGCTGTTGTACCTGGTGGCAGCACAGCGCGCTTTGGAGGCTGCTGGGGAAAGGAAGGCCTTTTCTCACATTATGCAGGTAAAGACACGGCCTGATGCTTTTCACGAGGACAACTCTATCTGTCCGGTTCATTTTGACCTGTCTCTGCATCAGCACCATGCAGCTATTCACTGTTACAGCTTCAGGCTACAGATACCCAGGGCCAGTTAGCCTGCATTTATACTACTGATGATGATGATGTAAGATGTAGGTGTATGTTACATGCCTGTGTACACTAGTGCTGGAACAGCAGAGGGAGTAGATGGTTGCACAGAGAGAGTGTTGTTCAGGCTTATTGATAGTAATCTGTTAAACTATTCACAGCACCTGCACTGAAATTCACACCACGCATAAGGTTGGTTGCAGTTAGCCAGTGCCATGGCAGTGGCTATTGCTTTCAGTCAGTTTGAGTTAAGAGCTGCAGTTTAGTTTGACAGTAGCTACAGTAACAATCTTCAAAGAGCCGTGCAGTGTTGTTGCATAGTAAACACACGTTCTATCAGGGATGTTGATCATATTTTGGTCAATTTTTAACCAGTTGCCATATCGTCCATATCATACTTTCACATCACATAGACGTGTATAGCAATGTTATTGCAGACGATGCAAAGCCCTGCAGAGATGTACAGTAGATGGGGCCTGCTGTGTGTTTCAGATGGTGATGAGCAATCTGCAGTCCATCCTTGAAAACGTGGACACTCCAGAGCTGCTCTGTCAAAGTGTCAAATGTATTCTTCAGGTGGCACACTGCTACCCACATGTCTTCAGCACCAACTTCAGGGTGAGTATTGTTCCATGGCTGAGACCAACAGGTGCACTGTGTTCAGATCACAGCATCTCTGATCTTTCCAGCCACTGTCCTGATGTCTTCTGCTGTCTCACAGGACACTGTGGACATCCTGGTGGGTTGGCACATTGACCACACACAGAAGCAGGCACTCACCCAGCAAGTCTCAGGTCAGTAAGCGCATGTTAGCAGGCAGTACTTCTGCAGCTCTTTGACATCAGCAGGCTTATTTATAACCCAGTGGGAAGGACGAGCATTGAAAAGGTTCATGAGAAAACGGGAGCAACATGTCCACACATTTCCCTGCCACCACTGGGATTCCTCCTGCCTCACACCCTGAAACACCGAGCAGTGGTTTCTACCCCCTTTGTACCTCTAGTTTAGATTCTATTGCAGCTGTTTAAATGTACGGACCAAGCGTGCTACTTGGCCAGTACCCTGGATTAAAAGAAGAAGGCAAACATTCAGAGACCAGAAATGACAGCCTTAATGTTTGCGTTCATGGACACATTAAGAAGGAAAGCTACTCCCAGTGCTGTGTGATACTGTACATACAGGGCCAGTGTCACTGATACTAATCCTGAGCGTATGCAGAGGAGAGCTGTGTGTTTTCATTTGCAAAGTGAGTGCATCGTTAGTACTCAGGAGTTCATTGTCATTTCGTATTTACCCAGCCTGAGACCAAGTACTGTTTCTCAGCAGCCGCAGTGCAGCAAACAGTACAGTTTAAACAGACTGTAATGAATCGCAACAATAGTTACGGATAAATAACATTAAGTTCTATGTGCACATAACAAAAATGACTGTTAACACAGAAGGATCATTATATTCAGATTTAGATTTTTTTTCTGCTACTTCCAGGAAAATGTTTTCTTTTCTCTTTTTTAATGAATTATGTCAAATAAAATAAGATGCATACACAATCTGAACTAATTTATGAGAAACGTACCTTTACTCTGTCTTCATGTCAGGTTTTCCAAGTGAAGGTTTCAGTGGTGATCACAGAAACAGCGCTGCTGTGTCTTTTACTGAACTCAGCTGTGGGGGCTTGATGTTGTTCAGAAGCTGCTCCTAAACATGTTTGCATTGCAGCTCTGCTTTTAGTTGCAAATGTGGGTGAAACACATTTACAGTGTGTAACACAGCAGCATGCTATGGTGCTGCGTTAAATGATCAGAAGTTGTAGAGACTGTCTTTATAATTGAATTATTCAAAGCACTTGATGAGTGCAGACCTGTTCTGCTGCTGACTCACGCCTCCATCAGCAGTAACATCAAAGCATTCAGCAAAGCTCTCCAACTTACAAATGGATGTTAAGAAACTTATAAAAATATATTTGAATAACAGAGATTTGTTATTGGCACACCTGTGAGATAAAACAAGGTCACCCAGTCCTGCTGCTGCCGCTGGAGGAATATCACGAGTGACATTTAGACTTGGATTATTTTAATAGTGTTTTAATACACATCAGTGGGAAAACACTACGGCTGCGTTCACTCTGCAGGTCTTAATGCTCAACTCAGATTATTTGATCAAATCTGATTTTTTTGTCTGCTCGTTCACACTACAAATAAAATGCGACAGCAAACGCGCTCTAGTGTGAACGCTCAAAGCGCCACATGCGCAAAAGAAGACGTCACACACAACGCGCTCTGTTTAGACCCAGAGCAACAGTATGTTTGACTGATGACCTTAATGTAAAGACTTCGGACTTTACGTTTCCTAATTTTGCTTTAAATTATAAAGTTATTTTGTTATTTACAAAGTAACTTTATAATTATCATTATTGCAGTTTCAGAGGAGCGCTGCTTCAAAGGACAGCTGCAGGTTTCTGTCAGAATCTGCAGGTTATACAGTACAAATAAAATGTTCACGTTTCTCCAACGCTCTCTTCCCAGCAGTTTCACTGGACGGACAGGAAGCGTTCGCGATGTCTTCTCCGGCGCTGATAATCGGCGTCTGTCTCGTGTCGGTGACGTAAAAGACGGATTTAATGCGACGTGACCATCAAACAGCAGTCGCTTTCTGAAACATCAGATATGTATCGGATCCAGCACCACACACGAAAGTGACCCAGGTCGGATTTGAAAATATCGGATTTGAGCCGTTCACACTGTCACCATGATGGGATAGATGGTCGCACAGGGTCAGAAAAGTCGGATTTGATGCGCTTTCGCCTGCAGTGTGAACGCAGCCTTAGACTTGTGCAAAATGCAGCAGCCACGCGCCCTGTCTCTCCAGCCCTCATGAGTTTACACGGTCTGTTACTGAGAAGTGATTTTAAGATTCAAATCCTTCATGGCCCAGAGTAGCATTAAACTCTACAGTTTGTTCTTTTTGTTCATTTTTTATGAATAAAACTGTTAAAGATGCACATGCTGTATATTCTTTGGGCTTGGAAAGTTCTCAGTGATTCTCCCGGCACGTTTTGAAGGAGCGGTGGGTCATGTGTTTGGATGGGTGGGTTGATGTGTAAACACAAATCCAGTTCAGCTCGTTTACCTGCAGCTCTGCTCTCCCTGTCTGTGCTTAGCCTGGTTACAGAGCCTGGAGCAGTTTTGGGTGGCCGACCTGACCTTCTCCACCACATTGCTGGGACAGTTCTTGGAGGATATGGAAGCATATGCCGAGGTGACGTCACCGAGCCTCTCAGCCAGTTAAACTTATTTAGAAGGTGCAGTGACGAGAAGCAGCCAGGTACCTGCAGTACTGAGTTTAACCCGGCCCGTGTCCCAAGTGGTCTCTGTGTCACCTGTGAGCTGCTTCCAGAACTGGTTTGCTTTGTTAGATCCCTCCCTGGGAGTTCGGTCTGACCACTTGTACTTGAATGATGTATGTTAGGTCTTCAGCCGTGCTCAGTACTGGCAAGTATGGTGAAGAGTGAGCACAAGTACTGTTGGAAAAAGCCCAAACCTCTGTGGTGAATGAGCCATGTTGAAGCTCAGACCCCGGGGAAAGGACTCGCTGCGGTGCTGACCTGACGGGCGGTCTGCTGTAGATCAGCTAAATTTAAGTCTCTAGACTTCACTGCACCTTATA